CTTCTAATGCCACATCGTCCAATAATTCAGGTAACCGGTTCTCCAAAAAGTCAGCATATGTTGGCCCATTTAGTCGTCCTTCAAAGAAATAGAGACCAACAAGTACATCGCCTATTATGCCAACCCAAACATTTACCGAGAACCGATGTTGAAAATGAGTTTCCCTAATCGCGTGAGGATTTTCATCGGCCCATATGTGGATATTATGGAAATTCACTTCATCATGGGTAAATGTCGCCTCATCTGTTACACAAACATACATAGGAAAGTCTACTTTATTGGCACATTGCCGTAAAAACCATCTGCAACAGCTGACGCCTAAAGATGCGATCTACGGTACGCGATGAGGTTCCTACTTGCTGTGCGAGTCGTTGAGTACTAATTGTGGGGTTTTCGTCAAGATTTTCCAACACTGCACTTCAACATTAAGGTTCACTTGCTGACCACGGCCTTCTCCTCGATGAATAACACTTCCCGTATCTCGCAGCCGCTGAACGCACCGTAGAATTGTAGTTGTACATGGGGGGGTGACGTTGTGGCCATCGTTCCCGGTACAAGCTAGTCGCCACGAGCTCATTTTCTCCGGCTGCACCATACACTAACACCATATCGACACGTTCGGAAATATTAAATGCATTGTTTTCTCGGTTGATTGTAAAACTAGTTTGTACACAAACTAAAAAATTAAGCAAAGTAAGAAATAAGAATCTCGTTTTTAATGTAATCGGCACGCTATTCTTATTTTTTACTTCTTTATAAAAATTACACTGTCACTATCTTGGAATTACAAAATAAAAACTTTTGTTTGGAGTCTTTCACTTTTTAACACTGATGGGTCGCTTAATATTTAATAATTAAGTGAATAATGAATTCCATACAAATACAAAATCAGTTGACTGCACAAATATTTTGACAATATAACCTAACCTTCTTTTAGTATTACTCGTAGGTATTAGATTATACCGACTTAAATTATAAGGTTGCATCTCGAGTCGCATAAAAACATTTCAAAAGTTTTTAATAAATAACACAGGGTCGGCCTTCATTTTCGTTGAATAAATAAACTTTAATTTACAAAAAAAAAACGCGAAGACAGAACTTTTTCATATAAGACTTTTCTATTACAGATATCATCAGGAAGCTGTAATAATTATTGGACTAATACGAATAAAGCAAGTGTGGAACAGGAGCAGTAGGAATGCGGCGTTAAAACAAAAAAGTTGATTAAAATCCCATCAAAGCAAAACTTCAACATTCGCTTTTTTTTAATGAAATGTAGGTACTATTATCAAAATTTGCCATTAAGTAATAGAAAACCATTACTGTGCGTTTTTGATCAGGACGTTCGTGTGTTACTTATCAAAGAGCGCCTCACTTCGACACACCATATCGACGCTCATTACCTGTTACCGTTCCGCGGGCCATTTGATTGCGCTTCCGGTCGCACGGCGTGACAGGACACGACGGACACGTGTCTGTCCGCTCCGCTGACGTCGAACCCCGCGCGTTAGATAATAGCCCGCTTGATTCCATCGTCACCGACGCCGTCAAACGGCAATTGTTTTTTCGCTCGCGGGGCGTCGATCGGGGAGAGAACGGCGACCGGCGACTAATCATCGTGATTGGTTTCCGGTGTATTATCTTCACCTTATAATTCGCAATGTACAGGTAAATGAGTCCAGTGACGTAAATATTTACGGATATTAATTTTTTTTAATATTCATTTTGCAAACACCGAAAGTAATCAAAATCCTATGCGCTGCTACTTACCGAAATGATCGAGAGTTCTGGAGGTGCGGCTCTCAACAGGGACGTACTCGGCTCATCCTCCCCATTTTCATTTCAGTCTTTTACTAGATTTTGTTCCGGCTTTTGTTCCATGATTTTATTTTATGCATCAGAAAAAAACCCTTTTAAGTTGTAGTCTGCGTGTATATTTAAATATTCATACAATTATTTATAGATGTAAAAATCATTAAAGTAAGTAAAAAAATAGTTTGAATATTTTTCAATAAATCCTAAATTTTGATGATTCTAATAATACCACGTTATTCTACACTTTCCAAAATATTACGCCATACCCATTTTGATCAAAATCCCATTGATTTTTAAATGCATATACAAGGTGTTAATGAACTTATGTCAAAAATTTAAAGGCCTGAAAAAGGAGCAAAAACTGAGTTAACTGATGTATGGTACAAACTTGTATGGGAAATTTAAGGTCTTAGAGAAAAAAGCTAATTAAAAATGTGTTTAAAACTGTTTTGGAACTGCTGAAATACATGTATTTTATCGCGGCGAGTACTTACAAAAAATTCTGCAACACTTTTTACGAATTTGTAGGTTTCTTATGAATCTGGACTGGATTCGAAAGTCAGTTTGTAATACATTGTTGTAGTGATTGCTGTGCTATTTTTCGAGAGTACATTTAATAGCCGTATTTCCAAGTTTTCTTTTGAAAATGTCACATTTATTTAGCAATCGCGAATATTATATGCTCACAATTTATGGAGAAGGAAACGAAAATGCCCACAGAGCTTGTCAAGTGTAGGTACCGTGCAAGATATCCTGAACGACGTGCTCCCACACCGCGAAAATTTTTTGCTGTAGTGTAATGAATTTTGGACACCGATGTTGTACCCATTTCATATTCAACGTGTTCAAGCGCTTACTCCTGAGGATTTTTCACTAAGTCAAGGTTTTTGCGAATGGTTGCTTCAGGAACATGCAAGAAATCCTCGATTTACAGCGCAAATACTTGTTACAGGTGAAGCATGTTTCAGTCGAAATGTATGTACACCATACGTAACGTCCACAATACTCACCACTGGACTATTAAAAATCCACACGAAATACGTCACGGTGCTTTTCAGCAACAGTTTTCAGTTAACAAGTGGGCCAGTATCGTTAGTGACACTTTAATAGGACCTTTTGAATTGCCTAGACGCTTAAATGCTTCATATCTAGATTTTTTGCAAAGGGAGCCCCCGCTCACTTTTTTTGGTGAGTGTGCGACTTTCTAAACAGTATTTTTCCCGATCGCTAGATAGGCCGCGGGAGCCTAGTTAGATGACCCCCCCCCTCCCCCGATACCCGGATCTCACTTCTTTTTCTGAGGATATTTGAAAAGTGCTGTGTATTCCACGGAAGTTCGTGACATCGACCAACTGCGACAACTTATTGCCAAAGCTTGTAATACGATTCGAGAGGACGTGGCAATGTAGTAACGTGTGCGAGCGAATTGGATACATCGCGCTGAAGCTTGTGTGCAACTAAATACATCGAACATCTATGAAAATCAGCAGTTTTCAAAAGGTGGCTTCTTGCAAGGTTGAGGTAAGTCAGATTTTAAAATTACATCTTACTCAACACAAATCCACAAATATTTGATATAAGTTCATTAACACTCTGCATGGATATATATAAGAAAAATGTAAATCAATCGATAACTATTATTTGCATCCTAAAAAATTATAGAAAACACATTTGCAATTTTGGGGAAGTTTAAGTTTCCGAATATGCGCATTTTAGGGTATATTTAAAAACAGGGTCAAGTGATTATTTCCAGTTATTAAACAGAAAACTTAAGAATTCATTTTTACATATTTTCTTACATATTTGGTGTGAACATATTTTGTGTGAACCTAAATTAGCAAACCGAGTCCGGTTCTGTTAAGAGCCGTGTATCCCTGAACTTAACATTTATTGTTTCTCCGATGGGACTGGCAACACGTGTCTGTGTCGATTTGTTATTTTTATGGTCGGTGTTTTTAGTCTAGGAGCCAGATAGGGTTCCGTGGCCAATTAGAGTGCCAAGGCTGCAAACAACTTATTCTGAAGTACTTTAACCTCCTGAATCAAAAAAACTTGGTCGCAAAGCGTGAAAGTGGCTAGTTTAATTGTTATTAACAAATTAAATGTTTAAATGGCTGTAAAAAGTTTATTTTCATAGCTAGTACAATTTTTATGCATTAATAGTTACGTTTTCTCATAACAAATATATATTTTTTTGGAAATTAAAAAAAAACGATTAACTTTAACCAAAGTTATTGCAAATTTGGTGCAAGTATCTTACATTTGTTGTCTCCGCGCGCTCCAATTTTACCATATCTATGGTTTTATTGGGCGGTTTGAGAGGCACATCTCATTTTAAAGCTTGAACTTTATTTTGCAAGATTATTATATTATTAATTTATTCATTTAACAATTAATAGCAGCTTAGACAGTTGTGAAATTTCAATGAAAATGCTGGTTTTAGTTGTTTATAAGGCTTTTCTTATTATTCAACTTCGATGAAAAGCCAAAAAAAGTTACTGATATTGTTCCTCGCATCCTAACAATCATCTCATGTATTGTAGTTGTTAGTTTTTCTTTATCAAAACCTGTGAAGAGACGTGTGTACGTCGAGAGCGATGTACATGCGGCAAAAATTTTATTTGAGAATTAGTACTAGAATAAAGAAAATATTCCAAAGGTAAGTTGATAAGGACCGCAAATACACCACCACATTATTTGGTGTATATTTTCTTTACAAATATGAAGAAAATATTCTTAAGCATTTCTTGACTGAAAATCGGTTTACTCCAATGACAAATCAGACAAAGAACAATAAAAATTGACCGTAAACAAATGGTTGTGCGAAGAATGCTCTCGGAATACAAAGGGTCATTCAATGTTGCGAAAAATATTTAGACTTTGGTGGTGACTACAAAGGAAAATAAACAATGATTTATGATACAACAAAATTAATATACATTTTTAATTGATAATGCCTAGATAATGTTTCATTTAAAGCAAATACGCAATATATTCTGGGTGACTCTCGTATATCTGTTAGATATTCCAATATTAATTTCAGGAGATACAAAGACTACGTATGTATTTATTTAATACATGACTGGTTCCTGTTTTTTGTGTTTTCATTAATGACTTTTAACATAGATTATATATGAGTGACAAATCACATCATTATCATCCCACTGAATACTCCGTAAACATACCTGGTTTTCGTTGTTTTCGATGGCGAAATAACCGGTGACTATGATAACCTGATGGAGTAGCTCCTGATAGGCATCGGCGCTGATGGAATCTTCTTTTCCATTGGTTTTCGGAATAGTGGGAGAGGCACAGCACCAGAGAAGGTGACTGCAAATATGCCGGAACTGCAAAGATATTCCTTCCGCACCTAGAACCTCCTGTAACAAAGAAATGATTTTAGAACAAGAAGTTGGTGTTCGTAAATATGTTTTTCATTTTAACGAAAAAATCAATTACATATAAATTTTTTAATTGTTTATCCAATGAATCACTTGAAAATGAAAGAGAGGGGATTTTTATTGTCTTAGGTGGTATAACAAGTATAACGTACTTTCACTTTAAATTTTGAAATTACAATACCTGTAATTCATGTACTTTGCTTTATAATTTGGTCTTAGGAAACTAGTTTTCGAGGCGCAGGAGGCAAAATTTTGAAAAATATAACATACACACAAATATCTCTGAAAGTGTTTGAAGTGGACTGATGAAACATAGTCCAGTGATTTAATTAAATGAAATCAAATTGAAATGCATTGAATTTGTAGACAATTATTAGTGGCCAATATACTACGAGGCACTATATACAAAAGACCCAGAATTTCGACGCCACTGAGTATTTTGAAAATATTGATGTGCATTTGGTTCCTAATTGAATTTCAAATATAAAAGGTGTCTTGTATTCTATTCGCAAAATCAGTTATTATTTTTTAAATCTAAAATAAGTTTACCTATAATTGAATATACCGTAAGTAATTCTAAAAGTAGGTGCTTGTTTCATAGAAGAAAAAATAGTAATTCTTTTCTTATACAGGGTCTTTCACTTTTTCGTCGATTTGTAACAACTACAGTTTCATGAAAACGCTGCAATGTTTTTGAAACAGTTGACTTAGAAATACGTTCCCGATCGGGATGCATGAAAAATATTCCACTTCGTCACAACTTCATCTTCTATCACCATATCCTGTGATCATTAAAACTTCAATACGCTCGGTTTCACTTAAACGTTCCATTTTTGCGAGAAAATTAGTCACACTAAATATATTTTTGACATGTATTGCCAAGATAATCACTATTAGACAAAAGAACGACGTGGCGTTATTATGGGGCTAGAAACATTCATTAGAAAGGCAACTTGATGGACTAAAATATTTTTGTATAAATAACCCTAAAACAATTGATGTTTCGATAGCTATCTCGCTTTAGGAGAAAATCGACCGTTTTCATACATATCAACGATCCTGAATCTTGTAACAATGAGAAGTTAAAAACAAAAAACAAGAATTAGTTGTAATTTCAGAACTTAAATCACCTTTTATGGTAGAGACATTCCTACTTATCAGAACAGATAAATTTTTCTTTTGTTATTTTATTCAGAAAAATACTTTGAACTATGGAATAATAATAATAATATCCGAATTTGAAGTGTTTCCATTTTTCGATTAAAAGAAAATAAAAGCGAAATAAAAATTTTCAGTTTTTATCCTTAAAATGAAAAGAGGCAAACTGAACTTGTATTTGAAGGATTTTACATATTTGCAACAATTTGCAACACGCAAAAAATTTAAATGAATTTAGTCCACATTCAGCAATTACAAGTTTTTACGATAATACTTTTTACATTATAAAATGTTTTACTCCTAATCTTTTTTGTATTTTTACTGTATTCCGCGTAAAGTATGTGTATATCAGTGTGAATTTACACATAGTCAGAAACAGTAAGATTTCATTCAAATAAACGTATTAAAAACTTTGTAATATTATTCTTTTATTTTGTGTTTGTTCTAAGCTTGAAAATTATGCAACTATTTGGTCTCCTCACTATAATTCATTTATACAGAATATTTGAAGAAAGCTTGTTAAACTTAATTTTAAAATAGATAGTGTCTTCCACAATCTGTCTTTGCAGTACAAAGAATGATAAGCTTAATTTGAAAATAGATGGTGTTTTCCACAATCTGTCGTTGCCACTATATACTACTCGTCTGTCAATTCAAGAAAAGGAAACACTTTTTATATCTTATCGAAAAAATAATATTAAAATATTCGCCTACATACACAATGTGTAACTGTTGTAATTTATTAGGAAATTAATTAGATATTTTCAATTCCAATGCTACCAAAATAAAATCATTGAATTTCAGCTGATGCTATGCAATTTTTAACTATTGATGTTCCCTTTTTATATTAATGACAAAATTGTTTTAAGCACGTACTTTTTTGTTTTATTGTATGTACTTTTATCCATTCTTGTTTTTTTTTAATGATTCTTCTAAATACATATTTTTTTCTATTTACCGTACTGTTCTGTAGTTGAGTTTTTAGACCTATAGAACAGTGTATCAATAAATAAAAACGCGAGTTATTACATGTTTTGATGTAAATTACATTTAGAGTGAATTACAGAAAAAAAGTTAAATTACACTCCTATTGTAAAAAAATAGTCAATGATCTGGTGTGTAATATTACATAAAACCTTTATGACTACGAATATTAGTTACGAATTATTATTATTATTGAACATTTTATTCTAGCTAATTCTGTGAAATTTCGAAAGCGGGGGTGTTTTGGGATTAGAAATTCGAATTTATCAAGCGACCATTAGGACGCATTTAAACTGCCAAAACTATTTTGTGCCACGGTGTATTTCACTTTGGGTTGGAAAAATCTTTTCCCCAACTTTTCTGCTTAAGAAAGGTATACCTTGCTAATATACCTAAAGCAAACCATTAAAAAAAGTCATTTAAATATGTAAATGTATAAAAATTAGTTATTTTCAACTATTAGGAGCAATCGTTTATTAGCAAGAAATATGCCTTTAAAGGAAACAGTACAATTTTAAGTTTAAATTTCGTTTATTTAACAATCTAACACTATCTAAACAATATAACCAAACTAAACGATCTAAAAATCTAAAAAATAACTAATTATTATTGACCTGTATTAAAAGATACATATGTTGTTCAATGGAGTTGAAAATAACTTTTAAACAATTTTTTTATGCATTTATAAATTGAAATGCCTTTTTTTGTAAAAAACGGTTGGCTTTAGAGGTATTAGCAAGGTTTTTACCTTTTTTAAGCAGAAAAGTTTTGGCAAGATAAATGCGTCCCAATAGTTGCTTGTGACGCCCTCTAGAAGATACAACGAAATCAATAAATTCGAATTTCTCGTCCCAAAAAACCCCCGGATACGAATTTTCACGAAATTAGTTCGAAGTAATCGAAAGATATTAAAGAAAATGTTATTTATTTTTCAACTTTAATACCCTGCATCTAGCTCCGTTATTATCAATTCTTTGACTAAGGCAGTTAAATCGATTTATGTTGAGACGTACCATATCTGGTGGAGCCTTGTATAGATCCTTTGGAGACACCCTGTAGAATACTTGTTTTTCTGTTTTTCACGTGGCATTAGGTAGACAACTTATTTTCTTCCATAATAATACAACTATAGTCTGTTTGGAAATGAAAGGGAGTAATAAAACCCCGAGATAAGAACCGGCCATGGGCGTGGTATTATTTCGTTTCAGGTAATTATCGGGTAACACTAATGCTAACAGGTAATGGGTGTACATTAGTATATTTTACTGGATACATCATAGGGCAGGAGCCAGTGTATTGTGACAGATCAATCCAGTCTTAGAGCTGAATATACGAAGACGTGCTAGTGCAGTAGAGTAAAATTCGACTTGTGTTTAGTGACTATTGTGCCAGTGGATATAATATTGTTTGGGTAAAATGTCGAGCTTATCAGATTACGTACCTGCTAAACGCGTGAAAAGATGTGCGCTGTCTCAGAATGAGAAGATTATTATATTAAATGTATTTAATGCATTGAAACACCAAAATCCTACCAACAGTGTTGACGACATCGTGGAAAAGTGTTCCAAAATGACAGGGATTGGAAAATCGACTATCTACAGACTTTTAAAGGAAACAAAAAATGAACAAGATACTGTAAATCCCCCAAAATCATCTACAGGGAGGTCAAAAGTCGTTATAGATGATTTCTTCAAAAATGTCATTCGCAGAAAAGTACACTCATTTTATTTTAAAAAAGAAATACCAACGCTAAACAAAATTTTAAGTGAACTTTCAGAGGACAACGATTTGCCAAAAATCAGTAGAAGCAAATTATGGGCCGTCTTACGAGAGTTGAATTTTTGCTGGGAAAAGCAGAACAGGAAGTCAGTTCTTATCGATAAAGATGAAATTATTTGTTGGCGAAGATCCTACTTAAGATCAATTAGAAAATTCCGTGACGAAGGGAGGAATATTTATTATCTAGACGAAACTTGGGTCAACGAGGGATATACTGTAACAAAAGTATGGCAAGATAAAAATGTAAAAAGTTTTCGACAAGCATTTTTGGATGGACTTTCAACAGGGTTCAAGGCACCTTCAGGTAAAGGGCGAAGATTAATAGTGACACATATAGGTAGTGCCAGTGGTTTTGTAGATGGCGGTTTACTTTTATTTGAATCTAAAAATACAGGTGACTATCACGAAGACATGAACGCAGATGTTTTCGAAGAGTATTTTACACAGATGTTGGATCTTATTCCTCCGGGGTCTGTAATTGTCATGGATAATGCCAGTTACCATTCACGGCAGACCGAGCGGACGCCTACGACTGCTTGGAGGAAAGCCGATATAATTCAATGGTTATCCGGAAAAAACATTTCTTTTGAAACAAATATGGTGAAAAAGGAACTTTTGACACTTGTCAATCTTAATAAAGATCAGAAAAAATATGTTATCGATGAAATGGCAACAAATCGCCAAATAACGGTACTACGGTTACCACCTTATCACTGTGAACTTAACCCAATCGAATTAGTCTGGGCGCAGGTAAAAGGAGATGTAGCGCGAAATAATACGACGTTTAAATTAAGTGACGTGAAAATTTTGTTAAAAAATTCCTTGGAACGAGTAACTGCAGATAACTGGCAAAGATGTATACATCATGTACAAAAAGAAGAGGAGAAAATGTGGGAACTCGATAATTTAATTGACGTTACTGTGGAACCTATCGTTATCAATCTAGGAGACGAAGATAATTCATCAGAATATTCAGAGGATGAATTTTAATATACCTACTTTTTTATTTTCTTTATTGTACATTTATACAACACTACATTTACTCACCATAATTTGAA